TTAGAAACTGCTTCATGCTGCATTGAGTATTGTTGAATAATTTGAAGTAGTGGTTTTTGAAATCAGCACCCCTATGAGAGCGCTGGCGACCGAAACACCACTAGTAAGATTGTGTATTAGAAACTGCTTAATGCTGTGTTGAGTAAGCTTCGATGTCTTTATCAGACCACCTTTAAATTAACCACTCACATTCTCACTGTGGTCCATCTAAAATTTGTAAGCTTTATGACATAAAATTATATTATATGCAGGATCCCACCTATTACTTAATCTTTTTGGAATAAATGTTTTATAATATTTATCGATTGATTGTAATTTTTTGTATAAAAAAAGTTTTTTATTTATATTAAAAATATATTTTGTTAATGATATTATCTTATAATTTGTAAATAAATCTAGTAATAAAATAACTTTAATAGTTGGTGTCACTTTTTCGAAAATTCTGGTTTTTTCTCTTCCTTTATCCAACTCTTCTAACTTCTTCCTAAGTTCAGCAATGTTGTCCTCATGAAGTTTAATCTTCCTTAATATTCCTTCTTTATCTAATGGTTGCTTTATCTTTCTAAACTGAACTCTACCATCCTTCATAGTATGAATGTAAAAACCTTCTGGAATAGTTCCTGATTTAATGTATTCTACCAAAAACTTTTGTTTCATTGCTTCAGTGACTTTATTTGTCATTTCAATCAAATAAAAATTTTAATATTAAATAAAAATAACGTTATTTTTTCAGGAGTGCGGGACAAATTTGCCAGGTGTCACTTTTCAATAACCTTAAATTACGCTTTTCTAATTTTTAAAATAACCTTAAATTATATTTGAAGAAATTATGTCTATGATATATGTTTTATGCTAGAATCTTGGAGTTTTCATGCACTACACAAGAGCTCCAAGGTTCCAAGAGTGAATGCTCAATAGCAATTATAGAGATGTACCTTTTCAAAATGACTTTTACTGATTAAATTTAATCAATAGAAGACATTTTGAAAAGGTACCTCTACAATTAGATATACAAGAGATTCAAAGCTTCATTTCAGATAGATTTGAAACTTTGAAACTCTTGGTAGATTTTGAGTGAATGCTGACAATCATCTTTGAGAAGGTTTTCTTTAAGAAAACCTTCTCAAAGAGGTTTCTCAGGAGCCCTGAGGCTCCCTTTCGTAATGATTGGGAGCCTTGGGGCTCCTGAGACGAAGAATGGCTTCGCCGAATCTTTGATCAGCAGAGGCCAAATGAAAAGGCCTCTGCTGATGGATTCTCAGGAGCCCTGAGGCTCCCTTTCGTAATGATTGGGAGCCTTGGGGCTCCTGAGACGAAGAATGGCTTCGCCGAATCTTTGATCAGCAGAGGCCAAATGAAAAGGCCTCTGCTGATGGATTCTCAGGAGCCCTGAGGCTCCCTTTCGTAATGATTGGGAGCCTTGGGGCTCCTGAGACGAAGAATGGCTTCGCCGAATCTTTGATCAGCAGAGGCCAAATGAAAAGGCCTCTGCTGATGGATTCTCAGGAGCCCTGAGGCTCCCTTTCGTAATGATTGGGAGCCTTGGGGCTCCTGAGACGAAGAATGGCTTCGCCGAATCTTTGATCAGCAGAGGCCAAATGAAAAGGCCTCTGCTGATGGATTCTCAGGAGCCCTGAGGCTCCCTTTCGTAATGATTGGGAGCCTTGGGGCTCCTGAGACGAAGAATGGCTTCGCCGAATCTTTGATCAGCAGAGGCCAAATGAAAAGGCCTCTGCTGATGGATTCTCAGGAGCCCTGAGGCTCCCTTTCGTAATGATTGGGAGCCTTGGGGCTCCTGAGACGAAGAATGGCTTCGCCGAATCTTTGATCAGCAGAGGCCAAATGAAAAGGCCTCTGCTGATGGATTCTCAGGAGCCCTGAGGCTCCCTTTCGTAATGATTGGGAGCCTTGGGGCTCCTGAGACGAAGAATGGCTTCGCCGAATCTTTGATCAGCAGAGGCCAAATGAAAAGGCCTCTGCTGATGGATTCTCAGGAGCCCTGAGGCCCTTTCGTAATGATTGGGAGCCTTGGGGCTCCTGCAGCAGAGTATCGCTCCGCTCCATTAAATTTTTTAAAAAAAGTGCCGTGTGGCAAATTTGTCCTGTTCCCCATCTTTATTATTTTTTTTATTCCTTTGAAAAGTGACACTGGATAGTTTGTCCCTTTCTCTTTTTTCAGTAAGGAAACGCAGGAGTTTTAAGATTTATTTGAGGAGTAGGTTCTGGTTTAAATGTTGGAGTCGGTTTAGGAGTTGACTTTTGAACAGGAGTTTGTACTTCCATAGGTTCAGGAGTCATTGAAGGTGTTGTTTGTGAAGGCGTTGGAGTTTGTTTAACTTCAGCTACTTCAGTATTATTTACAACATTTGCTTTATTTCTTTTCAACATCATAACTGCTCCTGCTGTAGCTAGCAAACCTAGTGGGAGACCATATCTTATATAAGGACTTGACCAAATGCTATTTTTGACAGGAGCTGGTGGAACACCTAACCTTGGTGAGACTGCTCTTTGCCATTGTGCAGCTCGTAAGAAATATTCAATAGGTGCTCCATAATCGTTTGGTAAAGTTTGTTTCATAGATGGTGAAGGTTCACGAGAGCTTGATGAAGAACTCATTTATAAGCTTTAAAAATAAACGTTCATCCTTTATTCCTCACGTCGTCCGTAGCTAAGTTATAGTCATCTAATCTTATTATTGGGATTCCATTAGCACGCACCTGAATGGCAAAGCAACAATCCCTCATAAATCCAATAAGTGGCTTTGGTACATTTTCAGTTGCTAGTTCAATAGGTCCTTTAACAGACAATTTGTATGTTATTGGAGCAGTAGATGTTTGACCTTGCTGGAAGCAAAAGTCCACTTCTGTTGGAAAACCACATAAGAAATGTGTGTTGTCATAGCTATCCCATTTATGTTCCACACTACCATCATCCACCAATGACCTCATAACATCTTCATTAAATCCTATCATATCATTGTTTGTATTGCAAGCGTTCGCAACCATTTCATAAAATACAGGTCCATATGATTTTTCAGGTTCTGCAGGCATATTTCCATAAGCTCCCATGGAAAGCTGAAGATATTTAAACTTAGGGTTCTCAAAATTAACATAATAGTTGTCTTTCTTTCTAAATAGTGCCCAAATACTTTTAACATTAATAGGCGTATAAGCTGCTGTAAATGTTGCACTTGAACTATCTGTATTCTTTGAGAATGAACCGTCCATAGGAATCCAATCCATAACTTTAACAGGAAAACATAAAGCCTCGTTTGTATAATGTTCTACAAGTTCTGTATAAATGTTAGGGTCTAAAGAGAATGACTTTGGATGAATGAAACATTCATTAAAATCCATCTTTGTTCGAAATAGTTGCTGGGTTACAGTTGTAATAGTAACTGTTCCACTAGCTTCTACTGCCTTCGTTATCATAGTGAATGGTTCATTCCATGGAACAAATTTATTTGTCGGTGGATTTGAATCTGAAGCAAATGCAACTTTAAGAGTTGGATTGAAAGCAATGATATCATTTACAGATATAGATGTGCATTGTAAGGCGTCGCTACTGAACTTTACTTTAAGCTGAATGTTTCCTGCAAAAGCTGGAATAAATCGAATAGCTTCTAATGGAAGGAATCTTCTAACAGGAATTCTTAAACGAAGCTTAAAATCAAATGATTTTCCTGCTGTAATTGGACCACTAACAATTTGTCCTGTTCTGCATGTTCCCGAATGACTCCATACATCTTCATGTCGAGTCTTTGAGAAAACATCTACTTTCTTTATTTGTTCGGTAGTTTGTGAGTTTGAAGTTATATATGCTTCTTCTCTTGCGTTGTCTTGAGAATATACGATACGACCATTTGCAAGGATTTGATATCCAGCAACTGCATAGAAAGCGTCATCGAAACCAATCCAAAATCCTGGTGGGTTTGTTTTATTGGAACCTGAACCAATTTCTTTATCTACAATAAATTGACCTTCCATTTTATACGTAATGAATGTATTGTAAAGGTCCAACATATTTTCACCAGGAGGTGAGAGATTGAATGTTACCCATGTGTTATCTTTAGCAGTTCCAGGTTGTGATGGAATCTTTGCGTCAGAATATTTTCTATTAGTGTCACCAATTTGAACTGCATTGTCTATGATATCGAAATATGAGCGAATCTGATGAATATGCTCTGCTGGAGTAAATTCGTTTAACTGTTCGTTCTGCATGTATTTACTTCGGATAAAAATATCTATTTACTTCATTATTCTCACTCTTCTTCTTGGCATTCGTGGTGGAAGTTGTTTCTTGACATTTTCAATGAACTGTACATTCTCTTTTGTCTCAACTTCTTTCACTGGTGGGTCAGGATTCTTTGACTCGGTTTGTTTTTCAATGAAATTCACGAACTTTGCAATAAGCTCTTGGTTCGTTATTGAAAGTACATCTGGCTTCTTTTCTTCTGGTTCTATTGACTTTTCAGTTTGAATAGAAGGCTTAACACGGGCTTCACCCTTGCCATACACCTTAATGTTGTCGCTCTCTGCATTCGCTAATGGAACCTTTCTTTTTCTTATATATTTTACCATCTTTACTCTGACTTACGTAATAGAAAGGATGTTGTATTCCTCTGCGTCATTTAATATAATAGACTCTCGCTCTGATTTTGACAAGCTCATTTTACATCGGTTAAAGTTTTAATTTTGTTTTTTATCTGCAGTCAAATGACTCAGACAAGCCCTACGGACAAGACCCAAGGGGTCATAGATGTTAAAGCATTGAAGAAAGAAATTCGTGAGCAAATTTTATCCGAACTGAAGGAACAAAAACAAGAACAAAAGCCAGAGAGACCAAAGAGAAAACTTAGTGAAAAACAACTTGCTGCATTAGCTGCTGGAAGACAAAAGAACCCACGTTTGCTGGCGAAGAAAGCTAGAGAAGAAGCTGAAGCAAAAGCTAAAGAAGCTGAAGCAAAGAAAGAGTAAATGGTTTATTTTTATCCGAATTAAATGTATAGACAAATACCTTTATCTGTTGCGTTCAGTAGTGAAAACCCTGACGTCAAAATAAAGGGGAACAGAGTAACGTTTAAGTTTCCAACAGACTGGATTGTGAACATAAATGAAGAGAAGTACATTGGCATAACATCTATGTATATAACACGTGCTTTCAGAAAGGTTGACTTTATACTTCAAGTCGAGATAGAAAATGACGAACAGTCTTTAAGCGCCCAAAACATTCACATATACAAATACTTTAAAGACGATACAACATTGCAACAATGTATGATTTCATTTAATGAGATGTTCGAGAAAAAGTTTAACATTGAAGTACAAACTTTACAGCCTTTACGTGAGTTTCTTGCACAACTGAAAGAAGAAGGTAGTCAGCCACAACTTATAGACTTTCATTATGAATTTAATGAAAATGAAGATGGAACTCATGACTGTCAATTCATTGTATTCTCACCATTCAATGAAGTCGCTAAAAAGAAAGAAAATCCATTACGTATAAGATTTCAAATCTCTGAACCAAGTGATGATTTCAAGAATGTTTTCAATTATGATGCAATGCTTCCGAGGAAAAATGAATTTTCAAATTAAGATTTCCAGGTATTTGGGATAGAAAGCAAGCTATATTATATTCAAACTTAAGTAAGGGAGTTGAAAATGAGTTCATTGGTCATACAAGAACTTCACCACTTCCTAACCCTAAATACTATAAATTAACTGGCTTCAATCGTGAGTTTTGGATAGACATGTTCTCCACTCATGACCATAAAGCACCTGTTTGCTTACCTCCAGACCATAAGGACTGTCTCTACATTGAAGCACAACTCTTAAACTCTACCATCGCAGTATTGTAAAATCTACGCTAGCGGCTTATTTTTATCACGAATGACCTCATTGCTGACAAAAATAAATGACCTCAGAACTTCAACTTACGAATAAAGCTTGTTTTAGTCGTTATTGAGAAGTTAAACTTCTCTTCAAAGCAAGGTTGACATGACTTACATAAGTCAAATCCAATCTCTTGACCGTCATAAAGTGCTTTGTAAAGTTTCATTAAACTGAACTCAGAGTCTTTGTCATATGTTCCAACAGGTATGTGAATGTTCTTATCTTCATTGTAATAGCATTGTATAGCTTCAGGAAACATTTCATTAGCTGTTAAAGCAAGAACGTCTTGTTTTACACCTTTACAACGTGCATGGAATGCAACTTCATTTAAATCATTCGTGAGTAAGTCTATGTAAGTCTTCTTTCCACAAAATATTGACTTGTATGCTAAACTTTGTTTTCCAGGTGTTATTTCTGCGAAGTCAGAATGAAATTGACCAAGGTTCTTTCCTATAAGTTCTCTACCGTATCTCTTCTTAAACTCTGCTGCAAGCTTTGGTATGTCTTCATTGAAAATATGCATGCTATCGCAGTCCTGTAAAATATTTGAAGACCCATATCTTCAGCAGTACAGAATACTTCACACATTATTCTCTTCGACATTGACAGAATATTAACACCAAGTGGACAGAAGTTAAAGTGTCTGCAAATGCTTTTCGTTAGCTTGAAAATAGTTTTATCTGAACCATCCAAACCTTCGAACTTCACTATATGGTTGTAGTTTCTGATGGCATATCTTATAGCATCTTTGTCATTTACTATGGTTATTTTTGACTCAATAGGAGATAGAATAGTTTTGCCATAAATACTGTTCAGAATGAGCTTTATATTTTCTTGCAAAGGATTTCCTTCTTTCTTATACTTTAACCTTAACTCAAACAACTTCTTTACTTCATCTCTTATTCTAATATCTCTGTTTCCATCGTAATAGTATCCTTGCAACACTTCACATTTGACACCTTGATATTTTATGAGGTCTTGTAATGTTATATGGTCAACATACATTAAACAGCAAGTGTTTGAACTTCTGGGAACGTTAAGTTCTGGATTTAGTTCAGGGTCACAAACTATTAAAGGAAAGTGTCTATGTATTCCAATCTCTGTTATCTTAATGAGAACAAAGAAGCCAGACATAAACTTTTCACCAATGGGTTCCTTTTGGTCGTCATCGAATAAATTCTCATGAGATACTCTGTGCTTAACATTTCTTTCTTCATAACCTTTGGAATACCTTCTAAAGTATAAAGTCTTGCTATAGCTGATGGATATAATGAAACAGCGTCGAAGTCAGCAATGAGTTTTTTTCGCTCTTTTGTTTAATGTTATCTGACAGCATACATCTTCCACCTTGAATACAGCGTGAAATAAATTCTCTTGGTTTATTTGAGAGGTCATATAAATTTCCATTCGGGAAGTACACTCTGTTCTCAAACAATTTGTTAGCAATTGAACAAATACTAACGTAGTCATAAACGTTTAAATCAAATTCTTTCAATATGTCATTGCGGAACTTAACAAAACCTTCTCTTAAAATTCTTACATCTTGTTTGCAATAAAATGTGCTATACTTTTCTAAGTCGAAGTGGTTCTCATCTATTCTGCAACCTTTGATGGAATCTATGTTTTTCATGAATGTATCTGCATCCCGGATAAACTTACATGCTTCAGAAATGACACCAGTTCTGTTTGTCATTTGCTAACAAAACACTGCTGTAGTAGTTGTATGGAAATACTTCTTTCGGTCCTGTTTGTAAGTTAAACATAGCAGGAAATAGTTTTAAGTTTCTTATTTATAACACTGTAAGAGTCTTTTATAATAATTGCCCTTCCTTTATATAAGCCAGTTATTTGCATTGTTCGTGAAACCTTTAATGATGGGAGTTCCTTTCACTTCTGTCATGTGTCTTAAGATGAAGTTTATGTCATAGCTGAGGTTGTGAAAATATACTAAACTCTTGTCAGGAAGTCGTTCCAAAAATTCTGTTGCACAATTCTGACCCAAATGCTTTCACTCACTGAACCATCTTCACTGTCATAACATATGTTAAAAGCTTTATGAAAGCCATCGGTACTGCACTCAAAGTCAGCAAAGAAAACGTGCTCAGGAATGAACTTGCACTTATTTTTATTTACTTCTTTTGACTCGGCTTTCTTCTTCAGTTGTACACAATACTTTGGAGCATATGTCAAATCTTTAAATGGTGCAAGGTTCTGTTTATATAAGTCAGTCGTATATGTGAAAAGTTCTCCATAAGAAATAGGTTCGAAATTATTTGCACTCCCACAATGTTTTCATAACATCCCATAACGGTGTTGTTCTATCATAACGAACTACATATTTGTTCTCTTCTTTGTATAAATCTTCATCTGTTTCTCAATGTTCATTCCACCACAAGCTTTGAGAATTTCTTTATAATTTATGATAAAATATGTTGTCATTGGTAATCTTTCATTTAGCATGTAGTGGTCTTCAACAAGAAGTAAGTCAATAGTTCGAACAGTTTCACATTCTTTTGGTATGTATCTCTTTATTTCATTATGTCTTGAGTCATTGAAGTAACCAATGGTAAACATTAAATGCTATACCTGTTGCGTCAGAAATTTCTTGTACTTTACTTTGAGGAAAGTCTCTAACACGAATGACTTCTCTCATGTGGTCAATAGTTTCTTCATCTACTTCAGCCTGAATGCAAGCATAAACGAAACAATTGTCTTCTGTCATAAGTGTTGCAGTTCTTTTGTTCAGTTCATTGAAGATTTGGTAGCGCTCAAGATTTATAGGTAATGTGCAAAGATACTTCCAGAACTGACCGCTTCTCTTCTTATAAAACTTCTTTTCACCATTATCTTTCCAAAAGCTTTCTATAAGTGCTGGGTTTCCTGTTTGCTTAAGAGCTTCCAAAATGGCTTTCTGGTCATTTGTCAGTGTGCTTTCATCTCTATATGGTCTCTTTTTTTGGTTTGCCTTTCTTTACATCTGACATCGTTAAGCCTTCATATTCTGTTAAATCATACATCTTTATTTCGGTAAGATTCTTTATGTTTGTCAAGAAGAAGTCATAGTGCATTTCAACAATACCTGCAGCATTTGCTTCTATCTCTGATATAAAGTTCTCCTTCAAGAGCTGATGTAGTAATGTTCCCAATATTATTGAGGTTTAACGTAGAACATTCATACTTTCCACCAAGTTTATAACATACCATCCATCTTTGTTGGGAGTTTATTTTAATCTTCTCTAAGAGTCTCATGAAAACCTTACCGAAATGTTTGTGTAAGTAGTCTCTGTTTGGTTCATCTAAAGCTTCGATGTTAAAGTCAATGAGTCTATTGCCTGACTTCACATTTCTCTTCCTATTCTCTTCATCTTTCTTTAACCATCTCTCACCTTCTTTTGGTTTGTCATCAATGGAACGAATGACATCGTTAGCTTTGCGAACTTGTTCTATAGCATTTTTAAACATCTCTCTTCTCTGTTGTTTCAGTGTGTCGTCTCTTCTTCTGTTTCACCAACGTTTGCATTTGTTATGTCAAACATTTCTCTTCTTACTTCATGAGGTACTGAACGTCTATGATATAAGTCATAGCAACGTCATTTAAAGGAAATGCTCTTGCATGGACTTCGTCCTCGCCGCGTTGCGGCTTTATGAACTCATGAATTCTATCATAACTTATTGCACCATTATAGTCATTGAGGATGTCAGCGAGTGCTTTTTTGTTTGTTGCGTAATGCTTTGCTACTTCTATGTTAGCTTCTGTAAGAAGTTGTTTTATTTCCGAGTGTTCTAACTTAGACAACTTCCGATACATCTTTAGTAGGAAATAAAAAATATTTTTGAAAAAATTAGATTAGATTTTTTAAAGTTATTTTTCAAAATAATTTAATATTTTTATTTTAATGAAACACATGCAAGATTGCAAGTTCTTTCATACAATGCTCTCGCTACTGCCATCAAGAATGAGTTCAATAATGCTTCAAATGTTAATGTTATCTTTAACAAGAAGTTTGTGAAAGAATCTAAGTTTGGTCAGTATGTCAGACCATTAGCTATCGTCATTGACCGCAAACGTTATACTTCACAAGAGTTAGCAGTAGTTTTGAAACAAAAGGGTTTCTTCGTGAATGTCAAAGATACTCATTATACTGTTATAAAGAACTCTAATATTGACTTCTTCAGTATTGCTTTAAATCTTTCCGAACAGAAAGAATATAAGAAGGGTGAAACAAATGTGAAATATTATCCTTCATCTCTGAAGACAATAACGAACAAAGATGTTATACAGAAATTCTTACCAAAGGTTGAAGAAGCTTCTATTGACATTGACGAAGGAAGTGAAATGGTTGAAGAAATAGACCCTGAAGCTATTTAACCAAAAATATATTTTTGAATAACTGATGGTGTCACCACGTCACCACGTCACCATGTCACCAGGTTAATTAACTTCTTTTAAAAATGATGACAACATGACATTTTGACAACACAGCAGGATTAATGCAAAAATGAATATTATCGTTAATGTTATCGTTAATGTTATCGTTTATGTTATCGTTAATGTTATCGTTAATGTTATCAGTGTCGAACATAATTGACGTAGGATTCATGACTTCT